AATCTTGCAGGGTATGCATATGCACGCTTCGGTATATGTGAGCTGTTGAAGGACTTAAATGCTGGAAAGACAGTAAAATCAGCATTTCTGGTACCTGCTAACTCCTGTCATCACATTCTTCCCCTGTGTTTACAGTGCATGTCCACATGTAAATCCTTTGAGAGTTGATACCATTTAATAACTTTTAATTGAAACCTGTGCATTGCATCTGTAGGGAAGAAGTTGGTTTGCTTAAGAGCATTGCCTTGAGAGACTGTACAATATGTTAGTAATAGATGTACCCATTTTATATTTAACTAGTGTCTCATGATGCATCTGTATTTGCTGTCTGTCTGATCTTCTGTGCTCATTTTTGCTGGCTTTTGTCTGCAGGAATGCAGAAAGAAAAAAAGTTAATCTCAGTTTACAAGGGAGCAATGACTGAGAAGCTGTGACTGAGTTTCCGGGTGGAGTTTTAGGATTCATTTATCTAGGTGCCATTATGCTTATTAGGACCAGGTTTTACCACATAATAAAATGAGTATGGCCTATTAGAATATAGAGAATTGCAATTGCCCTTTGCCCCTGCTTATCTTTTAAGGTGTGCTGTTTCATAGGAATAACATAAGTCTCAATAGCAACCAGTAGTACCCCTGGTACTGCTCATTCATTAAAGCAGGTTATTTATTTTCAGAAAGGTTATTTATTTTCTGTTAGAAGCAAAGCAAGCAGCTGAGAATCAAAGCAGAGAACACTTAATACAATTTAGCATTGAAATCAATGCTGTGTCTGCTAATATTTTTATTTATTTTTATTTTTAGATAATCCTTAAAATAATTTGGTTCAATCTGACTTATTTATTTACAAGCTTGGAGCAAAGAAGTTAAAATAGTGTTATCGGATGAAGTAACTTGAAACTGCCTAATTCTAGGAAGCAAAGTGCAAATTACTTCTCAAACAGAAAAACTAAGTTGATTTTCTCTCTAAATTAGGTAATAAGGAATCTGTCCTCTCTCTGTAGAACTAGTGTTGTCTAATTAACTTTTTGGGTGGAATATATGATAAAAGAAAGACTGGTTTGTTCTGTTTATTGCAGATTTTCATTCTATTGTTAGGTGTATCCAAGACATTCCCCTCAAGACCACGTGAAGCTTTATGTACAAGCTAATAGTGTGTGATGGCCTTTCTTTGTCTTTCAGATGGAAATACTTACATAGTATACCTTCCTTGCTGGGTGTATGCCCATCAGCTGAGAGCTATTGCATTATTGCTAAGAAAATTTTTTTGTGTATATAAAATGGCTGTAGTGGAGGATGTAATATAATGTGTTATTTTTAATTTGCAGGTTTCCACACTGTTGTGGTTCTTTGGATTTGTTTTTTTTTTTTT